ATGTAAATATCTACAAATTAAACTAAAATATAATTTCAATTCCGAGTTAACCCCCCTTGTAAAAATAAACAGTAATTGCACTCTAATTTTTTATTCTTAACTGTATTTTTATATATTATAGATACAAAAATTTTAAAATAACAGCATTGGAAGAGGTGTCTACGGTGTTGTAGCCGTCATATCATTGTTAAAATTTGATATTTTCTATAACACTTTTTTCTGAAATGGAAAATAACAAATAACAATCTCTAGTCAACATTGAAACATCAACTAATTTATTAATTTCAGTAAAGATGTGTGTAGTTAATAGGTATTATTAGTAATTGGTATTAACATCATAACATAAAATCATATACATATGTAAGGGGCGCGATAAGGCATCACCACATAATTAACCCCATCATTCATTAGAACGCAACCGTGGCGTAGTGGAGTTAGTTTTAATTCGAAATGGTTTATTCGAATGGTGCCAATGTTCGTCCGTGATTTGATTTTGCGCGGGGCTTTAATTTGACGTTTGTGTGGCATCATAAATTGCTAGCCCTTTGTGCAAAATTCGCGTCTGCACAATTACAATTTTGTGTGCGTCTATTCATACAAATGAAGCCGTAATTTCTTTACAACAACCGCCAACATTTAACTTTGTTTTATTTATGTAAACGTGACTACATATCAACGCATGGAAAACTATCGCATATGCCAATATCATATCGCATATGTTTTGTGTAATAAACCGAACAAAATTGTAAAACGTAGTGCCGGTTACAGAGTAATTAAATTTATAATAAGGGTTCTTTTATGTAATCCGTTTTATCTCTATCAAAAGAAGTAGATAAATACTTTTTTGTTTAAAATATCTAATGATTGCCTTTTAAACACTTTTTTGAGAAAAGCATTTTGTATTTTATTTAAAATATTTTTCCAAACGTATTTTCTATTTGTAAAATGCAAAATACATTTCTGCCGTTAAATGTTTTGCTAGTATCACCCATCAAACATTACATGAAATGACCAATGAAAGTTGGTCACATTGTCAATGAAGGTATTAGAAGCTTAAAAAGAGGACAAAGAGACATTCCATGAATGCCTTCTAATTCTTTAACTAAAGAGAGTCCAAAAAAATGTAAACTATTTGGAAATGGATAATCTAAAATATTAGATCGATATTGTTTTCCGGGTTTAGTGTCATGGTCAATGGGATTTTGAAGTTCCAAATTGAGATTAGCCCCTGTCAAATCATCATTTATCTTACTTTTAGCAAGGAACTACGAAATTCTATGAATTACGACAAAACAGCCCGCAAAACAATGTCGAATTGATATATGCCAGCTGTGTAAACTGAAAACTATAAGATATTGTGGTGTGCTAGTAAATGTGGATAATTCAAAATTCTTGGAAAATGATTCGAAACACTTCACTTATTAGATGAACCCAAAACTATAGAAACTATGGATTCCGTTTGTTCCTCTTATTACAATGTGTAAAAGATTAGAAACAAAATGGGGTTGTAAATATTTTGATATAAAATGATAGATCTTGATTTTACATCAATAAGATTATTTGCAACCCTATTTTGGCTCTTATCATTTACGCTAAGCGAACCAATTTGGCATCAGTTTTTTTTTTTTTTCAATTAAAACGGGTGACAAAGGCAAATAAGGAAACATATAGCAGAACTATTTGTTGCTGAATTGATGAAACTATAACATAAATATAGAAAAACTATGTCGCCATCACTTCAAACAGAAAAATATGAATCATAAATATTCGCAACTGGTGAAATAGTGTAAACGCCACTGTTAGTCTAGAAAAACGATGAGAAAATGCCTGCAAGGTTTTCCCAAAAAGTATTTTGTACTTAAGTAAATGTAGAAAATTACATAGGTAGTACAAAAAAGTATTTTAAAAATACGTATTTTGCCTTTAGCATTTGAATACAAAAGGGAAATCTATTTTATATTTTACATTTGAAATAACAAATCAAACAAGTATTTGCATTTTGTATTTAAATACTTTTTGCACATCTCTTGATATATGTATGTACACAATACATACATCATCGACTTGAACATTTATTTCATTCGTTCTCCGTCTTATCTTTCCTCAAATTCATTTATGTCATTCATTTCATTATTTCTTTTAATAAGATAATTCTGAGGTCAACGTCATTTTTTCTGCAGTTTCCACATACTCTTTTTCCTTTTGACATTAAATTAATGTTAGTATCTGCAATTAATAAGATTTTACGACCTGTTTTACATCCTTTTTTAAAGTTGTCGCTTACTCAGAATGTAAGCAAAAAAAAATGGAAAATTTTATCCTTTTAGGAATTGAAAGAAGATCCTGAAATAACTCAAGAACATTTAAAGGATGCCATTGTGAACTCTCGACCATCTTTATCAAGAGATGAAAGAGCTAAATATGAGAGAATGTGAGTTTGGTTTTTATTTTTATTTTTATTTTTTTGATGCATTTCTTATAATATTTCAGTTATAAAAAATTTGAAGGCTCACCAAATAAGCTTGATTTACTTGGTGCAGTACAAAAGGCAACTTTAGCCTAAAATAGATTGTAGTAAAGGGAATTACATGTTTTTATTTGTACTAATAATACATGTTGTATATTGTATAGGATAATATTTTAATGTACAATTTACTGCACGGAAATTTGTTTTCTTTTTTGCCTACCGTTTAATCCAATATCGTTCCTAAATGAACATTAACCCGTTTTCAAATGCCTTAAGTGGTTCTTAAAAAGGATTAAATGTTTATTTGTAATTATTCTTTGTCTTTTACGCAAAGATAAAAGGTCTTTTGGGAACTAATTACTTTTAAAGATGTCACAATTTAAACAAATGAAGGTAGGGATCACTACAAATAGATCGTTACAGCAGGAAGTCGTTAAAAGCGCATTAAAAATTTACCGTACAGCCTTCATTTCAAACAGTATTTTGAGATAATTTTAGTTAATTTTTCATTTTATGTATTCATTCTAAATACTTACCTATATAAAATTGTGTGCCCTGATTGACTCATAATAAAGAAGCTGAGTTTTGGGATGATTAAAAAAAAAAGTTTTTCCGATCTGTACTGTGTGACATATCAAATGAAAGGGCTTATTGTAAGGGTCTCAAACATATTTTTTATAATTTCAAAATAAATAGTTTTAAAACTATTTATGAAAATAAATGAAAATTGACCATTCCCTTCCCTTATCTCTGAATCTACTGAACCTAAAATTTTGAAAAATACAGAAAATAGTTCTTTACTTATAGATTACAGGACAATTAATATTAATTTTGATAATTTAATTGAACAAAACGTAAATCTTTCAACAAAACAATTTTGTGCGTACATTTACGTTAGCAGTTTAAAAGTATGTGAGAACCCTTTTTTTCAACTAAAATGTTAAGTTGGTTCTCGGGTTAGGATTCCGTATGCCTGAAAGAAAAACGGAACCGTTATAGGGTCACTCGTGTGACTGTCTGTGCGTTTTTTTTGTAAGGTAAGTGTACTCACCAAGAAAGACTTTTGGTAAGCTTGGTTCGTAGGTAAGAGTAGGTAAGAGAGAATTGAATTTTATAATAACATCTATAAGGCGCAGTCAATTTGATTAATGTTGCATTTCCTAGTTCGGCTAGGCAACTAAGAAAATAGTGCAGCAGCTAATTGAATGTTTAGGCGGGATGTAAAGCAATATTGACATTGATAATTGTGTGCTAATTCATAGTAAAAAACGAATTACTAAGGGTGTTTTAATGTTTGTATGAATAAATGAATATTTTATCATTTGTAATATCTAACTGAAAATTGAATAGAATTCAACAAGGAACATATTCTAACGAAAGTGGCGCTGAAAAAAAAATACTAACTGCAGTTTTATATTCTCCCTCACAATACATGTAACTAAATATTTGTTATGTATACTTTTCTTATATACACTTCGTAATAATCCAGGAATTACTAATTTTACATATATAATCAACTCCAGGTTTGAAAACTTTAAAGTTTCATTTCTTTCAGAATCCAAGGTTTTCAAATATTTGATTTAATATTGTAGTTTTATGTAAATTATTTCTCAGGAGGTGATAAGTAGGGACGTAATCATCTTTTATTTTCGCATGGGCAAGGGTAGGGCACACTATTGTACATTATAAATTACAATACAATCCAAGACGTAGTTTCGCAAAAAGACAACATTAAAACCAGAGATGTGATTTATTTGAAATACTTGTATTTAAAATGCAAAGACAAAATACAAAATACCTATTTTTATCTTGCATTTAAATACTCTTTTGAGAAAAGGATTTTGTATTTTATTTAAAATTCTTTTCCAAACCTATTTTCTATTTGCAAAATGCAAAATACATTTCTGCCGTTAAATGTTTTGCTAGTATCATCGATAAAACGTTATATAAAATAATGAATGAAAGTTGCTCACATTGGCTATTGAAGGTATTAGAAGTAAAGAGGACAAAGAGACATTTCATGAATGATTTTTAATTCTTTAACTGAAGAGAGCCCAAAAAATTCTGAACTACTTGAAAATTGATAGTCTAAAAAACTGGATCGATATTTTTTTTCGGGTTCAATGTCATGGTTCATGGAATTTTGAAGTTTCAAATTGATATCAGCATCTGTCAAATCACGTCTTATTAGCAAGGAACTACGAAATTCTATGAATTACGACAAAACAATATCGAATTGATATACGCCAACTGTGTAAAACTGGAAACTACAAGATATTGAGGTGTTCTAATAAATGCCTATAATCCAAAATTATTAGAAAACGATTAGAAAAACTTCACCTAACAGATGAACTCAAAGCTAAAGGAACTATAGATTCCATTAGGAATAATCGAGAAGGCAGAGCACGCTTCGGAAGTCTCTATAGAATTAAATAATCTTTTTAAATTGAGTAAGAAGGTGTATAGGTACTTACTGACAAACATTTTCAAAATTTTAACGAGCGCTCCCCTTTGTAACCTCGCGTCTAGTTTGTTTTACGGTTAATCCACCTTTGCTCGAGACGAATTTTGCCACAACGCTTCAAGGGCATTTTAATGAGTCATAACAAGAATTTCGTGACGTGGATGTTTTTCAGTGACCACAATGCGTTGTGAGCTTTTGAACTTAACATATCGGAAATAGACATTAGCAAACTTGCGGACAACACAGTTAGTGCTGAGTATTGATGAAAATAAAATTACATAATAGGATCTATATAGATTTTAAAATAAGCTCTTTTTGTATAGAATAGGAATAACTTAAGTCACATAAGACTTGTAAATGCGGCCTTTTCGTTGTTTAATAAAGTGTATAATCTTGTACATTATAAAACGAAACCAATTTAAAACAGATGAAGGGAGCCTTTATCTGTTCGTAATGCCCAATAAATACACAAAATCCAAATAAATCCTTTTAAGCTGAGCTTTCTAAGGTTTTCTTTGAAGAACATAAATGCAATAAATGTTTTACATATACATTTCTGTTCATGTATACATGCATACATGTGTACGTACGTATATAAGTCGCGGTTACAAGGATTTGCATGATACATTCTTGGCATTATTGTATTTGTACAACTCAGTCACCACCTCGTCATCTTCTTCCAATCCACAAATATTTGGTCTATTTAACATGCAATCGAAGCACACATTCAAACTTATTGAAAAGCGTATTGCGTTGATAATCGGTTTACAAACGGGACGAGTATCGCTCATATTCCTCCTCTATACATGTCTACATGTACAACGAAGATACAGCGTGCATTTCAAAGTTACAATGTAGATTTATTATTCTATTTAAAAGGGGCAGAGAAAAATAGGCTTATAAAAATTATTTAGATATTTATATTTTTTGTTAAGCGAAAAAGAACGCAAAGAAAAAATTGCTCTTTTATAATCATAATGAGTTTAGTGATTTTTTTAATCACATTAATTTCCACCAGAAGCTGATTTTTGGAGTTCCCTGATAAAAAGAAGGGAAAACGGTTGCTTTAGTAAAAATTCAGCCTAAATTTCACAGGTTTTCAGAACCTGTTCTTCCTCTCTTTCCGTTTTCGCAATTAAAACCTTAAACTGGCCGAGATTGCAGTGGAAATAAGGTGTACCTGTACAAAAATTTGCACTTTTAATTTATTTCTTTTGTAAATTGGAAATGTATGGGCTTACTTACAACAAATAGTTGTCCTTGCTGATTTATATAGATACATGCGTACATTGACTACTATTTATGTTTATTTGATTAAAATGGAAGAGTTTCCTGACGGTGGTGCAGTACAATTCCAAACAAGGATGTGATCAGTTCACATGACCAAATTTCTAGTATAAGATAATAAGTAAATGCTTCAAGAGCTGCCGCGTAAGTAAAAATAGAGTCGATTGTGAGCAACAGTTTTGTGCCTATTTCCGTATGATACAAGATTTGAAAATTACATCAAAATTATTAGTTCCAATTCAAATTTAGTTACGAGCAAACACGTACACATGCATATTTGCAAGGGTCTCACACAGTTTACTTCATTTATAGCATGAGGATTTTGACGATCTATTTCAGAATTGTAAAGATTTCGGTTCGTCAAATAGAGTGTTATTTCATCACTATCCCGATTGTTGCTATATAACATTTGTGAGATTTAATATCATCATGTAGTGTTAAATGTGAATAGAATATAAAAAATGTTGTTTATATGGGCGAAATTTAGGATCCGCCATCAGACTATCCTTGTTTCAGTTTTTGGTATGTCTTTCTATGAATGTCGCAAATACAGCTTTTAACGTATAATTTTAGATATGTCAACGTACATTTCTGTGCTTGGACTGTAAACAATCTTCGTCCCTATCATAAAGTGAACCGATAGGGTTCCAACATTCGACATTCGACTTTTGTTGTATTGGCTATGAAAAAAATACTGTTTTTACAGTTATGTATAACACAGTTGCTTTTCACAAAGTTTTACCAACACAAGACGGTAATGTTCTCTTACATGATAGCGATTACTAAAAACTGGTAATAATACTGAGAAATTAGTACATCTAACTTTAACATTACTAGGTGGCGGTTCTGACTCTATTAACAAAGAAAAAAAGCATTTTTCCGTCCTTCTCTCCCACATTTGCGCCGTCCTGAACCATGCCGTACCACCACGCCACGCCACTGTCGTTATGTTTTTATTAATACAGTAGAACCTTGATAACTTAAACCTCGATAAGGTAATAACAACCTCTATAAATTCATAAAGTTTTGTGTTCTCTTCCCCTCTATTACTTAAAATAAAAACCCTATATATCTGTTTGATGTGTTTGTTGTAATCTGTTGGCGATGTATATGGCGGTATCCCGCCGAAGGCTCTTTTGGTTAATTTTCTTTGAATTAATAGACTGCTTTTCTTAATTGCACTTTATTTACACTATTTACACTTTATTTCTTGATTTTGATATATAAATTGATTTGATTGAAGTCGAATTGTAATTGTTGTATAGTTTGATTTCGTTTGAATTTGGTTTTGTTTTAATTTGAATTTGGTTTTAACTTGTAATTGAATAGAATGAATAATAATAATAAATTGATATAAGTGGATAATAATGAATTGAATATAGTGATTATAATGAAATTTGAACTGTGGTCCGAGACTTAAATAGTCTGCACAAATAGGACACGCCTTT